TATTTGCGGCCTCTCAACCCCCACATCGGTACTTACGTTACAAAAAACATGTCAGTAGCTAAAGGTTCAATATTTACTCATAAAATTGTAACTAAAAAAAAATATTTGCAAAAACCAAGGGATCCACATAAGTACTAAGTTTGATAATTTTTACAGCCATCGAAATTTTTTATTGATTTATGTTACTGTTATATAACAAGATTATTAAAATACTAAATGGTGATTGGGAGAGGTTTATGTACAGTAGTAGACGTTAACGTGCTCATGAAGAACCGACACAAATCCTGCATAAGTTTAATATTATAAGTTTAAACTAAGCGTTTGCGCACAGGTTACGTGTTCATTTCATCTTAATTTTGTAAAACTTGTATTATTATGGCGTATTCACTGACTCTCATAGCCCGATAGGACGGTAAACGCACACAACAGGATCGGGCGTAGGAACAACGGCTTTACGGATGAGACACCGCCAACTTCCTGAATCTGGGAAGCTATTGAGAATTTCTTGATGGTAAAACTTAATAAATGATTTTAATTTTATCCCGACACGGGATTCGAACCCGGGACCTCAAGATCAGCAGTTGCACTACTACAACCACTAGGCCAACGAGGCAGTCATGAGATAATAAAGATAATAATTAAAGCCTCGGCTACAGAATCAATTATTTTATGAACCTTTTGACCTATCTTATTTTTGATTATCAGAAGCTCAAAATAACAACTAAAATAACAACTGAAGTAAAATGTCGTCATTTATGGTGTAAAACTTAAAAAAAACATGCAGTACGGATTGACAACCTCCTTTTATTTGTACTGGCCAGAAATGTTATCCCATACATCGGTCTACGTCCGTAATCCAATGTTGATGCAACAACAACAATTATTAAAAAGTCTCGTAAAAACAATGTTTTTACATCAAATTTTTTTACTAAGAACTAAAAATAATTGTTGTTCGTTTGTGTTTTACCAGGCTTACCCAGATATTTCTTAATTTTTCCGAGATTCAGAAATTTATATACAATTCTAAAAACAAAACTCTTCTAAACTCTTTGTCCACTTACGTACGACTGATTTTTGGGGATTTCAAATTGTTGTAGGGACGCGTTTATATTGAATTAACGCCGCCCGGAAATCCTCTTAATCGGTTCACGCAAATTCATAATGTATTTTGTACGAAACAATCTGCTACTATCATGATCCTGTTATTTGTTTCATTCCATATATAAATTATTTAAAAACTAAAATGCCTTTATACATACAAATATAGCCACCATCCTTCTTTTATAATTTTCAAAAATATCAATTCAGTTCTAAAGGACGAGCAGGTGAATACGGAATGATGATATCGTCAGTTTTAATTAAGTTTAAACAGATCGAGCTATAGTTGTCTCTTTCGGTTATCTATCTCGGTCGGATTCAACGCGACAGCAAAAGATCGTTAAAAATCTTGCAGCTCATATATCCTTTTAATGAATACTGTAAAAATAGTGATAGCTTTGTCATATTTTCAACTAACTTCAAAAAAGGTGGAGGTTCTCAATTCGTCAGAATCCTTTTTATGTATGTTCACCGATTACTCAAAGACGTATGAACCGATTTAGAAAATATTTTTTTTATTTGAAAGCTGGTAATTTTTATGTTTCACAAATACTAGTTCCGGAATAGATGAGGTCAATAGCAAAGCAATAAAGTGCGTGAAACACCTCATCCTTCCTGAACTTACAAATTGCATAAATAATAATCTGGAAAATGGCACTTTCCCCGATAGTCTTAAGATGGCAAAAGTTACACCTATATTTAAATCTGAGACTAAGTCGGAACCTGGCAATTACCGCCCAATATCTTTTCTTCCCGTAATGTCAAAAAATCTATGAAAAACTGTTATATAAACGTCTTGAAGTCTAACTGTCTGCACAAAACTTCTTTTACAAGCAGCAGTATGGCTTCAAACCGAAATCCAACACACTGTCAGCTACATTAGACCACATAACTAAAGTGAAACTTAACATTGATAGAAAAAAAAATTGCACTAGTAGTATTCATAGACTTAAAAAAGGCCTTTGATACAATTAGTCACGACCTATAATTAAATAAATTATCTGACATTGGCATTACGGGAACCACTAATGAGATATTCAGATCTTACCTCAAGGTTCGATTCTGGGGCCTCTCATATATATATCCCATGACACCACTCTATTCTACTTTGGCCATTCTATAGACTCTGTTATTAAAGACGCACAAAATGACTTAGATTTTCTAAATATCTGGTTTCAATGCAATCGGCTTACTATAAATATATCAAAAACAAACTATATAATAATTACAGCAAAAAAACAAAAAAGTATCACATTATACACCATTGAAAATAAATAATCAAATTATAAATAAACTTGAGGAACAAAAATATCTTGGACTGATCTTAGACTCGCATTTAACATGGAAACCACATATTTCTAAAATTAAAACAAAATTAACTTCACTTTCTGGAGCCCTACGGGGTAGGATTACATGTTTACCGCACCGAATTCGATATAATATATATAACTCTCTCATAAAACCGCATTTAGAATACTTGACTGAAATTTGGGGCACCGCTGCAAAAACAAATCTAGAATTACTACAAAGGTCACAAAATAAATTAATCAAAACATTGTTTAAATATGATTTCCTCACAACAACAAATCTTCTATATAAAGAAAGAAAATTACTATATATATATATATATATATATATATATATATATATATATATATAAAACTTGTATATTAATAAGAAAAATATTAAATAAAGATATACATACTCAAATAACATTAACAAAGAAACAACAAATACAAAAAAATTGACTAACACGTGCCAACGACCTTTGCCTCTTTAATGTACGGAGGTGCGAAATTGTATAACCAATTACCGAAAAATATTAAAGAAGCAAAATCAATGCCAACTTTTAGAAAGCACTTAATAAATACTATTTAACATCTAATCTGAGCGCACCTTAGTTTCACTACTTCACACGTCACTTCTAGCTACGCTCGATCTGTGTAAGGTGCACGTAAAAGCATTGTTTTGCTCCTTGGTTATGTTAGTTTTTTTACAAGTACCCTGTATCTACATTGTATTTTGTTTTATACTTAGAAATAAAAAAATATTTAAAATGTATACTTACGGTTGAACGTGTTTGAGTGAAATGATTTCGATATATTAATGTACGCCTAGGATAAGATTATTATTTGTCTGTATGTATTTAAACTTTCTCATGTATGTGAATTGTTGTAAATTCTTATGAGAAATAAAGATATCTCAAACCTTAGTCCCATATGAATTTGATAAAGATCTGGCCAGTAATTTTTGAGTTATCCTTAATAATGCGTATTTAATTGAGTTTAAATACATTGCTGATGTTCTTATTTTACTTTGAAAACCACTGGGACGGAACTATGGTGGAATCCATCATTAGCACTGGCCTCAGCCGGCCGCAGCAGCCAATGTTAGGGACTTGTTCGCAATTTTATTGAGCAATTGCGGACTATCCTACAATCTTCAGGTGCGAGATAAATACAAGGACGCAAGTCTGAGTGGCGCTCACAATGATCTTATCGTTAACCAAGTTTAGGTATTGATTAAGGATAAAATGATTTTCATAACTGGAAAATGTCTCGCTGATTTTAACCTATCTATACTACAGCGAAGAGGGGATTTATCAGGCAATGTTGTGATGGCGCTTAAATACGATATCGCAGTTTTGGAAACACAGGTCAATGAAATGGCACAACGGTTGCTTCCCGAGCAGCGTCAAGTGTACGAAACGATTCTGCGCCAAGTAAATAGTGGAGAGGGGGGAATATTCTTTTTTGACGCATTAGGAGGTACCGGTAAGATATTTGTGCTCAATCTTCTGCTGGCTCAACTCCGCAAGAACCGCAATATAGCTCTAGCGGTGGCTTCCTCGGGCATTGCTGCAAGTTGCTGAACGGTGTCCGGAAAGCATATTTCGTTTTAAAATTGCCACTTAACCTTGCAAGCGAAGATATCCCAATTTGCAACATCATAAAAAACGGCGGCCGTGAAACGCTATTGCAGCAGTGCAAGTTGATATTATGGGACGAGTGCACAACGTAGCACAAGCATGCAATAAAGGCGCTGAACCGCAGCCTGCAGGACATCCGCGATAAACAAGCGCTGATGGGTGGCATTGTCGTTTTGCTCGCAGGAAATTTTGGACAGACACTGCCAGTTATTGAGAAGGGTACACCGATGGATGAAATAACCGCATGTATCAAGGCATCGCTACTATGAATCAGGATTGAAAAGCTCCATCTTACGCTCTCCATACACTAGGAGGTAAAACTAAACAGACAAAACTGCGTCAGTTCGGACTGAACGGATTGGTGCACATACACGGCGTAATCCAATCAGTTCACTCCGGTTCGCTGCAAGGAGTGGTCGTGAATAATGGACGAAATTGAGTTATTATGTTACGCTGCCTTAGCACTAGTATATTCAAAAAAAGGAAAAAAAGAACACTGTGGGCTAATCCTTGGCTACAACAAAGGGAGCAGTATTCCCACACAAATCTTTTACTAGAACTAAAGCTTTGCCCAAAGGACTGGTTTAATTATCTTCGCATGGATGAGGAATTGTACTTACAGTTACAGTCCATTTAGTGGCACCATTGATAGAATAAAATAATACAAACATGCGGGAAGCTATATCTCCTAATGAGCGTCTGACTGCAACTTTAAGATTACTTGCCACCGGAAGAAAATATAAAGATTTAAAGTATTCTACCATCATATCACCACAAGCATTAGGGAGCATAGTTCCAGAAACATGTTATGCAATTCATATCAGCAGGAGCATTGAAGGAGTATTATAAGGTAAATAAAATGCAAATAATCGATTATTAATGTATTTAAAAAAAAAAGAGTAAGTATTAGTAAAAAAACTAATTCCAAACAGAAAATTTTACATATTATCAGAAATGTCGACTCCAGGCAATTCTACCAAATTTGGCAATTGTTCTTCTGATTCCACTCGCATGAATAATTGACTGGGGTACCACGAAACACAGGCTGATTATTAATTGGCGACAGAATTTGTGTTAGCCGATTGATGACAGAATTTGCATAATCCAAATTTGGTAAAGGATTCGAAAGTAACGAAAACCTGCTCAAATTATTAAGTTGTGCTTCGTACAAAGTAACGTTCATAATTTTTTCTGCATATATGTTTTGAATTGCAGACAATGATCGTAATTTTGAACCAACATTTTTGCCTATAATGTCAAACTCGTCTTCTTGCCGAATAGAAGATAATCGGTCTCCGATCGTACGCAGTATTGATTGTGATTCTGAGTTACTGGGTTGCTTTCTTTTAAAAGATCTCGAGTTGGAAGACAGGCTTAATTCTAAAGATATATATTTTTTAACAGTCTCCACAATCTGAAGAAGATTGGATTGAAATTGCGAACGGTTTTGGAACGATATTGAACTTTCCACTTTGTGTAGGTGCTGTGGATGGAAAACATATTGCTATTAAACCACCTCCTGGCGCTGGTTCATACTCTCATAACTACAAAGGGTTCGACAGTCAAGTCTTACTTGGGGTAGCCAATTCAAACTATGAATTAATTAATTTTTCTTTTGGGATCAACGGACGAGTGTCAGATGGTGGAGTATTCCAGTACACTGATTTTTATCGAAAACTAATGAACAAATCTTTGAATCTGCCTAGAGCATCAAATGTAAGTGGCTACAATTTGCCCTAAGTTTAAGTTGGAGATCAAGCTTTTTCGCTATCACAGGAATTCATGACACCATTTCATCAAAATGTACTAAATGTGGAAAGACGCATTTACAATTACAGGCTTTCAAGAGCTAGATGTATTATAGAAAATGTTTTTGGAATAATGGCCCGGCCGGCTCGAAGCGGGATGGTAGCACGACTTCACAGAAAAATACCAAACACGTACAGTTCTCCGGAATGCTGTTACCATGAGAACATAATAACTGGAGAAATAATGTATGGTCTACAAACTAGAGAAGAAAATGCTTTTCAATTAAACAGACGTGGCAATATTAACAGAACTGCAAATAATATTAGAAACTCATTCGTAGAGTACTTTAATGGGGTTGGGCAAGAATCATAACAGAATAACTTTCTGTAAATAGTTTATTTTAATAAAGATGTTAGAAGTTTAACCAAGGATCTTTTATTCACTAAGGTTTTTTTTTACTCACCTCCACATTAACATCCATACTAGAAGTAGAAGGTAACGGCTTCTTTTGGTCTTTTAAGAACAACAGTTCTTTATAATACCACAGTTTTGGTGTATAAACTTCATCAGCAGAAGCCCCCAATACTATGGACGATATAACTTTTTTATGTTCTTTTCTGAATGTGCTGTGTAAATTATTTATTTTTTTCGTAATTGTAACACGATTAGCGCTCGGCTCTATTGTCAAAACTTTATTCAAAAGTAAGTCATAGCACTCATTTCGCTTATTTTTATTACAATAATCTTTAGATTTTATTAACCAAAGCGGTTCTAACGTTTTGAATAACTCGATAAAGTCCAAAAGAAATTCTCTTGACCACGAGGCCATTTATAAATCACAATTTCAAAACGTTCCACGTCCTCACAGCCAGAGCTTAGTTGCAAACTGAACTGACTTGTCCATACATGATCCGTTCAGTACTTCCAGTCAGACCGATGTGAACGAATTGCTTTAGTCGCTCCGGCCGACTGACGCGAGCTTACCTTAAGGCCAAATAACACACACACGATACGAAATTGCATCCGGTCAGTTAGATCTTAAGGCAAAACTGTCTGTATATTGCCCCCCTTACGTGCAACATGCGCGTCCAACTGTACAACGACCACGAATCAGGTGTCTTTATGAATAGTCTGCTGCAAATTTCAGAGGCTCGTACGGAATCGGATGCTGATGGAAAGATTATATTATCCGAATAACTTTCCCATCCAGTGGCTTATCATGCACGTTTTTCCCACTTTAGACCTTAAGATAAATAATAAAAAGTGATTGTGTGAGATGGTGTCCTGTCTCCAAAGAACGATTCTGTCAATGAAATAAACAAAAACAATATATAATTTATATGTTTACATGGTAGAGCCATGCTGCAGCTATAATAATAATATAGTTTTAGCACGAATGGGTCGGCTCGACTGGGGAAGGACCGCGCTCTCACAGAATACCAGCGTAAAATAGCAGCTTAATGCTGCTGTGTTTCGTATCACCATACCAGTCTGTACACTGGTGAGTGTACCATACCTGTACACTCACCAGTGTACAGGACCGCGGACGTATTTTACGGGAAAAGTGGCACTCTATCTTAGTCCTCACGGTCCTCCTGCTGATGTGAAGCCTTGATGAACTCAGACTATACAACGGCACTAGGCTTCGTATCACAGAAATTGTCAGTAATATTGTATAAGCCACCATCATTACAGGAGCTACAATAGGAGAGAATATTTTAATTCCCCAAATACCTATTATTCCGAATAACTTGCCATTTCAATTTAGGCAATTTCCCTTATATTTGGCTTTACGGTGACAATCAAGAAATCCCATGGCGAAATCTTAAAACTGGCAGGCATTCATTTGGGCACTCACCGCTTCTCACACGGTCAATTATATGTTGGTTGTTCACGTGCTTCCAATGCCCAAAACTTGCACGTGATAACGGGAAATATTAAGTCATTTAATTTTGTGTACAAAGCAGTATTGGAATAAATATATAAATAGTGCCCAACAAGGCGTTTCATTATTATATCATATTAGACCGATTCGCACAGGACCATAATGATAGGTACGGTTTTTTAAACTGTCTTCGGGTCATCGACTTTTGATTTATTACTTACTTTAAAAAATACCGTTATCTATAATTGCGTTCTAATGCTGTGTTTTCCAGTCCAGAATTGACAAAACTTCTACTGCCCAGAAATCAACGCCCACAAGTGGCGTTTGATCGCTCACTTTGAAAACTTATATAGCGCCATAATATTCCGGTTTTTAATTTTGTTTCCGATTCCTGCCGCTCAGAATTACAGCGTCCAAAAGGAAGCCATTTTTATTATTATCACCTATATTGGTCACATTTTGATCAGGCTGTCAGTTCTCACACATACATATCAAAATAACCGCGTGAACGAAGTCACGGGCAACAGCTGGTCTTACATAAGATGATTATTATATAGTTAGTTCTTTTTTAATTTAATAATTTATTATTTATTACCTTTTTTATGAACAAACATTATAAAAAATTAAAATACAAAAATAACATCTCAATCAAAATACAAATAATTGAGGGCTGATATTTCCATCGGCACTTAAGTTAGCCATCTACTTAATTATAACCGGACTGAAAAAGTGAAACAATTGTATTATTTGTTTTATTGTGGCATTCCTTGTGGGAGGCCTATGTTCAGCAGTGGACTTGTGAAGGGCTGTAATGATGATGATGATGATGATTCATACAACTATTATTTTTAATTAGTATTTTTTATTTAATCGTAAGAGTTTGCTGAATATATTTTACCTGATGACTGAAAAATCAGCCTTTAGTTCAAAAATAAAAGAAAAAGTAATCAAGTGATAAAATTAGAAATTTTGTACGACTGACTTCAGTATAGTAACTTTGACAGAAATGAGGGTGTACCGTGGTATACTGAACCTATCTGCGTAACCCTTAAAATGGTAAAGCTGCGATGTTATGTAATGTGATTGCGTAAACAATAAAAAGAATTTTGCAAATTTGTATATATAATATGACGGAGTCATGCTCGAACATACATAAAAAATATATTCAACCGAATTGAGAAACTCCACCTCGGTTGAATTAGTTTTAAAATACGTAGTATACTGCAGGCGTGCCGCAGGTCGGCGTGTTGTCACCTTTAATCTTTTCCATTTTCATTAATTCAATTACTCATAAAATATCTTCTCTTTACCACATGTATGCGGATGATGTCCAGATTAACATCCAGTCAACTCTTGAGTCTTTAGATCGCTATTCAATCGCTGCATTGAATAAAGATCTAAAGATTGTTCATGATTGGAGTAATTGGCCATATGAAATGGCCTAAATGTCAATCCTAAAAAGTCTCAGGCTATCATTATTGGTAGCCAAAGCTTTATCTCAAGAATTGACTGGTTCACCGTACCACCTATCGTATTCGATTGAGTTGTAATCCCTTACTTTGATAATGTCAAAAACCTTGGCATTTATATTGGGAATTCTTTAAATTGGATTAGCCAAGTGAATGAGGCAAGTAGGAAAACCTTTGTCGCTCTTTGTTCACTGGAATTTTCGTAGGAATGGGAAGAAATAATTGAAGGCCGTCGCCTTCAATTATTTCTTCCCATTCCTACAAAAATATGCTCACACAGTCTCTTCTTTTTCCGATTCTCGACTTTCTCACGTTTCAGGTGGTTGCCTATCCGACTTCGCCGGAACATTCATATTCTTTCTATTCTGTACTGTGTATTATTTCATCCTTCTGCTCCTCCCTATCTAAAGGAGAAGTTTGATTTTGTGAGGCTTCCAGGGGAACCTCTACGCTCTTCTAGAAAATTCATTTTAAGGGTACCAACTCAAAAAACATAATTTTTAAATAAATCTTTTACTGTCCAGTCTATTAAGCTTTAGAATGCCCTACCTTTGCATATACGTGAAGCACAATCTATTGTAATCTTTAAGCGTTTACTTAAAGAACATTACTTGTCTCAAAAATAAATTATGTGATTATTTATTTATTGTATTTATGAGATTTATATTATTGTTTGAGGAATTTTGTAAGTTATTATTGTATTTATTTATATGTTATTATATTGCATTTATTGTCTATATCGCATGTATTAATATTATATTTTATATATTTATATTGCACCACCTACCTAGTATTCATTGCTTTATTCCTTTACAGCTTTGGTTGCCTGGAAGAGATTGCTATGTAGCGATAAAGCCGCCAAATTGTACATTTAATCTGTCTTTTGTTGTGTAATTTGTATATTTGTTTGTGGTGTATAATAAAGTATATTCATTTATTCATTCATTTCTTTTCTGTGCATGCTTTGTTTTTACAAGCTCCAAAGGGTACATCTCAAAACTTTCGTGACGAGGGTCAGAATTCGGCTTCAGCTCGAGCATAAATTTTGTTAAGTGTCATCTACATTTGAAACCAAAGTAACTGTTGTCACTTAAAATACATACAATCGTAAGAACCTATTTTTAATTCCATGTGCTTTTTTATCACCATGATTCAGGGGTAACTAAGCTAATATGTTGGCCCATAGAAATCTACTTCTATCCTCAATAATATTATACGCTGCACGCCTGAGTACTAAGATGAAATACCTCGTTTCCAGTAAAAAGGGTATTCGCACGTACACTCGTACACTCACAATACGAAACGCAGCAGCATTAAGCTGGCATCGATCATAGCGTGAACCTACTACACTTAAGGCGATCCATTTATGCTACAAATATAATATAGCTGCAGCATGGTTCTATCACGTAAGAAACTATTTTTAAGTCATGATGTGGTGTATTTTACTTCCATGATCAAAGGGCAGCTGCGCTGAAATGTTGTCTAAATATTAGAGATAATTATATATAGATTGACGGCTCCGTGGCACAGTGGCTTAGTAATGAGTTGTTGCCCTGGGTTCCGCGGGTTCGAATCACGCACGGAACAAGTATTTGTATGGCCTACAAATGGTTGTTCCGGGTCTGAATGTTTGTCCTCATGAAATCTATGTTTGTAAACTGCCTCCACAATACAGGAGAATATCCCGTCCCTTGGACTTGGAGCCTTGGCGGCTATAAGGAAGCGATATTTCTCATCTTTTTGTCATCTTGCCATGGAAGAAATATTATTTTATTTCATATATTTTGTTTTTACTCTTTTGCACGTATCGTGATAAAACATCAAGCCTGGGGTTGACTGGGCAAAAATGCCAAAAAAAAAACAACTGTGCAGCACTTTCAAATTCAAGTGTTAACGAAAAGCGTACCTAATTAAATAAATAATTTATCCCACAATATAGTATTAATTTATCACAAATCTAGCTTACACTCTAGATAGGCATTTAAGCTCAGTGCATGCTAGAGTCGTAAATCATCATAATCACATATAAGAATGCCGTCTGGAAAAGTTCACTTTAATGCCCAAGCTATTCAATTTAAAGTTTTCTTTTAATTTATTACCACATCATATAGCAAATGAAAATTAAACTTTAAATACTAAAAGCGACTTTTAAAGACTAATATAGATTTAAATAATTTCTATAGACCAGCTAAATAAGTCTGTGCTAAGACATAGTAAAAAGACGAAATAGAGCCCCGAATTCGGAAGCCTTCATTTTAATAAAAATAAAAATTAATTATTTCATTCTATTTACTTTTTATTAAAAGCTTATTTTTGGCTTCTTAGAGTGAACTAAGCAATTCCACAAGCTCTAGTTAACAACAAGAATGTCATCTTAATAGTTATATTCAAAACTTTATCTCCTTTTACCCACCCTTACCTTCACCACAGAATAAATAATAATTAAATGAACAGAAAGATTACTCTCTGATAGCA